ATTGTCCAAGAGCTTCTGTAACTTCGTCGAACTTGGAACCAATTTTAACCTTTACAGTGACTTTTCTGTCAAGCCAGTCCTATCGGAATTTATTCTTGACATTTGAGTCAATTTCTAGGATTAAAGACTCCTGATCTTTCGTCGAAAATTTCATAATTCCGCTCAAAACGATCCCAGAACAATGAATTTGCGAGACGAACAGGCCGCCATGAATCAGGTAAAACAATATGTTACATGCAATTTGATTGGTCCAATCGCTTGTAGTTAACCAATCGCTGGGCCGTTTATAATCGAGCTAGGACTTCCGCAACAAATAATGCCTTCAGTGATCTGATTAGTTGAAGCTTTCATACACGTCCAATCGCAGGGCTGTTTACAAACGGAAAACGGAGAGACTGTTCGGGAGAGCTCGTGAAAACTCGACGATAAGGTACCTGACCGCCCCTAAAATTTTCTCAACGGATTTAGACGATTCACAAAAATGATCAATTTTAGAAATAAAACGGCGGATTTCCGCGGATCCGCGGAAAATTGCCATGTATGTCATTTGTAAATATGATGTATTTATTCTATTACTATTCTTTGATGTCATTTAATAGCCTGAGCTATAAGGACATTTCATTTTACTCATGACAAGATGGTTTATGATAACTGTGTTGCGAAGCAGCTTGCAATTAAATGAATTGCTGTGTTGGACAAGTTGTTTACCATCGTCTCTCCCTTTCCAGTCTAAAGGGGAAAAAGCCTTTCCGGTCCTTGCGCAACTTAAAGGCCGACCTCGATCTGATGGTTGAAGGAGATCTGAACATCGTTATGGCCTTTGCTGAGAAGTTGAGAGCGGGACTACATTCATTTGTGTTTGGAAAGCCATTCTACACCAGCATGCAGGAAAGAGATGTTCTTATGAACTTTTGAGTGCGATCATCACCTGCACTTAATGTCTTGAAAATTGTTGGTTTTGTTTGTTTTGTTTTGTTTTGTTGTTCCAGAAATATATGCATGTTTTCTTTCCAGATCTAGAATTCCGTTTCCCTCCATTTGGCTCCTTTTTTGTCCAAGGTATCATCAAAGAACTTCTGTTTGTCAAAGATTTTATCTTATTTCCTCTAATCTGCTTTTATGATGTGTTTTGAGAAGATAAATATTGTTATAGGTGTCTCCAGTCCTGTATGTATGTATGCATGCATAACAAATACAGGTCCTCAATCCTGTTCCTCGAGGGCTGCTGTACTGCCTGTTTTTCTCCTTGATGTAGCACACCTGATTCAAAGATCAGGATCTTTATCCGGCTTCTACAGACCTTGTTGATTATCTGATTATTTGATTCAGGTGTGTGGTGGCAAGGACAGCTAGAAAATGGGAAGGACAGTGGCCCTCGAGGAACAGGATTGAAGACCACTGCATTAGATGATGGTGTGAAAGTAATTTGCTTCCTGCTCGGATTTTTATGTGATTTCAAAATGCTATTTATTAAAATTATCTGCTATTTTATTTGGCAGTGTGAACCGACTGCCTAAGTTGGCCTTTAGAAAGTACTGTGGTGTACAGTACAGTTAAGAATTTTTTTGTCGTTGAAAATGATCAAATAAATGTCTGTGTTGAATGTGAACGTTACAAATCCATTGACATAATTACAATATTGAGTGTAATCCCAAAGCCTGGAGATTGAATCAAAGATCAGGATAAAAGCACTCAAAATGGATCTGGTCACACTTCCTCTTGACAAAGCAGACTGGTCAACTGTGTATGACATGGATTTGCTTTGATTATTCTTCTCAGGAATAATCCACATATTTGTTGTTAGGATCAACCGGTCCATCATATTTAACTCATTTACTTTGTGCTTTGAGTCACCCTCACAAATTTTAGCTAAGATCCAAAATTGAATTTCTGCGTATTTCTACACTTTACAGATGTTAAGAATATGTCGCGAATGTTTCAAATGTATGTTGACTTCAGAAGGGTAATTTTTTTGTGGAGGAAATGGACGAATAGGTATATGGACTGAAGCTCAGTGAAGTCAGTTTAGGAGGCTCACTGTAATTTCCAAATCACCCTCAAAAGCTAGTGTGTGTGTGTGTGTGTGCGTGTGTGTGTGTGTGTGTGCGTGTGTGTGTGTGTGTGTGTGTGTGTGTGTGTGTGTGTGTGTGTGTGTGTGTGTGTGTGTGAGAGAGACATCATTTAGTGGCCTTAAAAACTATTTCTACTCAGTTACGCACATGGAAAGATGACACAGTATGACTGAACATAAATTCGACATCCTCTCACATTGCTTAAAAAAAGAAACAATCGTGACAAAGTTAGGTCACTCTACAACAGAGGTGGCCGGTTCAATGCGGCTCCTGGGCTTTCACATGACAAGCGTCGAAAATGCCTTGAAGGTGGCACTACCATTCAAACAACAGCCCTAAGTACAGCAGATTTTATGACGTCAGCCTATCATCAATCACGTGACTTGATTGACATACAGGGCAACCAGTCAGATGACAACCGAATTTTGACCTTTAGGTCACCGCTCATGTGCAAACAACGGCGCTAAGCTAGTCAGTTACCTCTGATTTTAAGACAGGGGTCCCCAATACGTCAATCGCGATCGACCGGGAGCCAGCGGAGTGGTCCCCAATCAACTGCGAGGGGTGGAAGGAGAAATGGGGGACTGGTTCGCCACCCCTGCTGTACAATATGCAAATATATGACAACATGCCCTTATGTGCGCAAAATAAGTGCCGCCAACGGCTGTTTCCAATGTCAGCGGGCTAATGTGGTTATCCAGATCATGCACTTTTCGTCATTAGCCCCATGATAAGAACATCAATGAAGTTCATAAGTGATAACGAGTTATAAGGCTACTAAGGTTTGCTGCAACCACGCCGGAAATAGGAAATGGAACAGTACAAGACAACAACGCCCCCCCAACACACACGCACGCACACAGACAATTTAATTCCTTTTTTAAACTTGTCATTTCATCGCTTCCCATGCTGCCTTTGAAACGCATCATGAACAGCTGCGGCACAGTCAATGACACAGACAGCAGAATGGGACTTATACTGAAAAACTCATAAGCAAACCAACCAGAGAGGTAAAAAAAAAAAATGCATGTTGGTAATCTAGCAAAGTTTTGAACAGGTAGCATAAACATTACAAGATATTGTAGAGTGAGTCGCTATTGTCAAAAGACCTTCTCAAGGCCAGGGAGGAGATTATTACTCGAGTCCGATATACAGCTTCGAAATAGTTGTCCTTATAATTAACAACCATGGCCCTTTCAGATCAAAAGATATATTGTCGTTTGTATAGGTAGCACGAATACACCATGTCATAAGGTAAAAACGCTTATTTGTGAGTCTGTTGTCGCTCACTGTTTTCACTTACCACATGGGGTCTGTGAGCTAATTTAAATATTACATATTTGCGTGGGCGGCACGGACGGTGACAGGTTAGCACGTCGGCCTCACAGTGCAGAGGTGCAGGGTTTGATTCCGGCTCCAGCCTTCCTGTGTGGAATTTGCATGATCTCTCCGTGCCTGTGGAGGTTTTCTCCGGGTACTCCGGTTTCCTCCCACATTCCAAAAACATGCATGGCAGGCTGATTGAACACTCTAAATCAGGGGTGTCAAACTCATTTCACATGGTGGGCCACATACGGCCTCGGTAGATGTCAAGTGGGCCGGACCATTAAAATGATACCATACTTTGCTATAAATAACCAAAACAATGTCTTTCCTTTGTTTTGGTATAAAGAAGCACAAGAACATTAGGAAAATGTTGAAATTTAATGAACATGTCTTTTACAAAATATTTCATGAAGCACCTTACATTTCCTTCGACAAATGTGCAATTTACTTTTATCATTCACATATATGCATTGCAAATGATCCCACTGATTGTACAAACATTAACAAGTAATTGGTATTGAAAAATACAGTAATGCACTTTAAGATTAAACAAGATTGTAATGCACTTTAAGATTAAACGAGATTCATAAAGAAAGGAAGTTTTAAACCATTTACACGTGCATATAAAATCTAAATGTAATCTTACAAACTAAGGAGAGTGCTATTGAATGTGTAAATGTGAGAGTGCTATTGATAGCGTCTGCTGTCATGGGTCTGTCACAGTGACGGACTGAGGCTGCTGTTGTCTTCTTCTCTGATCAAAACAGTGTCCCCTTGCGGATACTCAATGAATTGCACCTTATTAAAAATATTAATTCTGTCTTTAATGCATTTTTTTCACTTTTAAATTATCCTGCGGGCCTAATTGAACCTCCTTGCGGGCCGGTTCCGGCCCGCGGGCCGTATGTTTGACACCATGCTTTACATAATCGTCTCGCGGGCCTAATTGAACCTCCTTGCGGGCCGGTTCCGGCCCGCGGGCCGTATGTTTGACACCATGCTTTACATAATCGTCTCGCGGGCCGGATTAAACTCCTTTGCGGGCCGGATCCGGCCCGCGGGCCGTATGTTTGACACCCCTGCTCTAAATTGTTCCTAGTTGCGAGTGTGAGCGCAGATGGTTGTATGTCTGTATGCTCTGTGATTGGCTGGCATCCAATTCAGGGTGTCCCCCATTTATTGCCTGAAGACAGCTGGGATAGGCTCCAGCATGCCCGCAACCCTTGAAGATAAGCGGATCAGAAAATGGATAGATGGATGGCTATTTACTGTGCTTCTCAATATAAGGAAGGAAAGCATCATCCAAAAGTCATGCTGCCTTCAACATAATAGCAAGTTGTGTTAGACCAAATGGTTTGTACCTTTGCACAGACACAACCTTTGTCTGCAGGGGGATTAATTGTACACCCAGAGGAGCAGATAAAATGTGACCTACTTGTGGCAATAAAGAAGTCCTCAGTTTCGTCAAGCGCGGTATTGAAAGCATCAAGCCATTCTTGAGTGGTTTTTCTTTTCAAAGTAGTTCACCAGTTTTTCTAAGATTTTGAGTCCTACAAAGTTTAGTGCATCTCATCTGTCCCTGCAGAAGATAGAGACCGACCATTAGTTAATTTGCACATGTCTTGGTTTCACTTAAAATAAAGAATCGTGTTCAGTTATTATAATACAAAGACTTGCACCACAGAGGCTCATGTCATGGTGAACTGTGGAACCCTTTCTTTTATTTGTAATATTGGTGGGCAAGCTGGTACACGTATTAAATGAATAGTTTTATCATTACAGATTCGAGGTGCAGGTCTAGACAAACAAGTTATGCAACATAAAAACATGGAAAAACACAGTATTATGTTGATTGTTATGGCACTGACAAATTGTGTTCAGAATTTTATTGCTCAATTATTGGGTGTGCAGTTTTATTCTCTGAAGTAACGCCAGCTACACTCTGTATGTAATACAAATCTTATGCATTCTCATGGTTGGAATAAAATGTATGCAACAATAGTTCATAGCACATACTTATATTCACAACTTATTTTTGAATGTTTTCCAAACAAAATCTAAAGGCTAATTTTTCAATACTGGGCTTGGATAATACAGTACAGCATGTTTTAAGGGGTAATTTTTCAAGACCTCGCTTGCATATATATTTACAGCATGTTTTAAATGTGTGAATTTAAAATCACTTTAATAATTATTTGCTTTTATTTATGATAAAATCTATTTTGACATTATAAGAGGCTGCTGTTTGTTTGTTTGTTTGTTTGTTTGTTTGTTTGTTTGTTTGTTTGTTTGTTTTTAAGGCTTTATTTTTCCTGCGGTTTTCACACGTCTCGAATTCAGACGACTTTGATTTTGATTGGTCGCATGAGCTGTGCGTCAACAATTTAGAGAGCATTGCTCTTTCATTGGTCAAACCGAGACTTATCGTTATTTTCTATTGGTCGTTTTCGTGGCTGTTATCCTCGGAACCGGAAGAGATGTTGACTGGCCATAAACCAGGTAAATAGTCCACAGAGGATGGATTCTCTCCATGCCTGACACAATAAAATGACAACAAGCGTTGGACAACCGGAGCAAAGATGAAACGACAGCCTTTAGCAAGGGCATCGAGGTACTGTGCTTGAAGTTACTTCATTTCATTTATTATTAAAGGTGAAGTTGCAGGGTGCGGCCCGCTGTCATTAGGCTGCTAGCTACACACAGTGCTAACTTTATGGCATTCAGCTTTTAGCTTTATTATTGGCATAATACTCAATTGAACATGTCATTTGTCGAGTAGCCAGAGACGCTACTGTGAACTCGAAGAACGTTCCATTTTAAATTGGGCATCATAACATGCTAGTTCTTGTTTGTACTGTGAGTATTACTGAACTGTGGAAATGATGTAAGATTGAGGATTAGCAAGGCTGGTTACAAAGCATGCCCCCGATTTCAAGTCCCAGCCTTCCTACATCGTCCACCAGATATTAACTTGTCATAATATTTGCAAAGGCAGGTCCTGTCTGAATAGAATATCGCTTCGTGTTTTGGCTCGCTTTAATTTCACGACGTAAACAGAACAAGTTGAAGTTGCTGCTCATCACCTTGTTAGGACGAATTCCAATGATTTGGTCATGATGTGTTTGGGATACAGTAAGGTCTTTGTGTGATCACGTCACTGCTCACAGTTTTCGTTGTACTAGGCAGTAAGGCGAGAGTACATTAAGTAATCCCCATTTCACATGACACTTAATACAGGCTATTGACATGACTATGTTATTTAAACGCAAACTATTGCTTTTGTCCACTGTGGGTGTTGGCACCTTTGTCTATTGTGACAGTGATTTATCCTACCTGATGTTTTCAGGTGTAGTTGGAGCGAGGAGTAGTCGAGTGAAAGTGAATCTCAAACTGTCACTGACAGTATTCAACTTTTTACTGCGGAATACTGTAATTATTTTTGCTCGCATGTTAGGGTGTGCGTCACTCCAAATCGCAACTTATTTCTCTGTAACCAGTGCACTGTGCACAATGTACACAATGTGGACACGAATAAGCTTGCTTCCCTCCTCATAAAATCACGAGCAGCAAATGGAAGTGTTTTTTTTTTACCCCCAAAAATAATTTTTGCTGGATTAGGAAGGATTTGTGTTGGTGTGCGCCAAGCATAGTTGAACGAACTCTGTGCAAAGACCCTTTGCTGCACGCATATGTATAAAGTCCATCCAGGAGAACCATTTCACAAACAAATTAGTTCTTCCTGAACGTATTAAAAAAAAAGCATGAACACAAGTCATCAAGCAACCTGTGTGGTCACATTACTGGTGATCCACAGTCGACATTGTTCTGTACAGACCGAAACGCAGTGACCCCATTAATGTAAAAAAATAAAATAAACGAAACAAACAAAATAAAATCGTGTTTTTAACAGGACAGCGATGATATGTTTGTTTGATATAATAAAGACTGGGCTTGGCAACAGACATCTTTCATGTCATGTAGATATTCTGACATCATCAAGTTTATTCTGGTTTCTCTTTGATTTACAAAATACTGTTTGGAGTATACACACATTTTAAAATAATTAGTTGGACCTATTTGTGGATTGATTTACAAGCTTGATGTGAGGATATATTTATTGCCGTTGTTGACAAAATACTTTGCCTATTTGGTTTAAATTAGCATTTATTTTAACTTTATATTGAATAGTGTTTATTAGACTTTTTCATAGTTGTGTTGGCCTTAAAGATTACATTTTAAAATAAAATGACGAAATGCGGGGTGGGGAAAAAAAAAAATCAATAATTGTCAATATCGACTGACGTGAAATAGGGCTGCAGCTATGGAATGATTTGGCATTTGGATATCCGACTCAAAATGATATAAAAAAAATCAGTTATTCGGACAAAAAAAAAAATATATATATATATATTTTTTGCTTAGTTAGAAATACAGGAAACAAAAAAAAAAAACACATTTAAACTGCACATAGCAGCACCCTATTTCGCCTGTTGCAACATGGATGAGATTTTAGACAAATCTCTCTCCAAAGATTTTTGTCTGTGGATCGAAGTGACGTCAAAACCACAGTAGCGATTTTGCTGGGTAAAACAACATTATTGAATAAACCTGGTTTGTGATGTCATTTAAAGAAGGCAGAGTCACCACTCCGCCACTCTACTGCATTGTTTAACTGCTCATTGCTATTGTTACAGCATTATTCGGTGAAAGGCCTCAATGGTGTGTGGCGATGCACTGTTCACATTAGGGCAAACAGTTTTTCGAGTGGCCAAAAGAAAAGAATAGGGTATGTAATGATGCTCGAAAAGACGTCCCATTTCCGGGTTTGTCGCTTGCCAGGATCTCACTTTGGGAAAATGATTACTTCGTTGAATATCAGAAATTGAAATGATTTTTTTCATGCTTTATTTTATGTTCTTTAATTACTTGTCACGTAAAAATATTTCATTTAGGATTTCCTTAGAATACTTACTTTTTTTTCTCTCTAAATAAAGTAGGACCAAAAAAAAAAGAAAAAAGTAAAATCAAACCTTTAATTGGACTGCAACTATTTAGTGTGTGTGTGTGTGGGGGGGGAATCCCACATTAAGAAATAATTATTCTACACCAAATCATGTGTGCCGCAATTATCAGTACATCTGATGTTAGTACAAAAGAGCACCTATTCTCCTATAATGTTTCACAAAATGGGAGAGTACAGAAAGAGGGATGTTGGCCCATTCTTTGCAAAATCTCTCAAATTCATCCAGTGACCGGAACGCTCTCCTTTACACTCTCCTCTTCAGATCACTCGACAGGTTTTCAATGGGGTTGAGGTCTGGGGACCTCTGTCAGAATGAAAGTATGCCTCTGCAATAAGAATTGAATACATTTTTGGCTTTTAACCTTTCTTAACCAGGGGTGTCTAATTATGGATGGCACTGTATATATTTTAATCCCAATATTGATTATTTAATGAATTGACATGTTTTTCTTCTCTTTTAGTTGTCAACATCAAAGAGAGAGCCAGTAGCCATGGATGTGCTTGGTTCCAAAAACAACGAAAGTACCTTCCCAAGCTTAGGGGATTTGGATGACTTTCTCACCAAGCACAACTCTAACTTCATATGGCTCCTCGTGGGTAAGTGCTTTGCATCTGATCTATCGTCAAAAAAAGAATTTATAAAGTGAATCTTAATATCACGCGAAAGTCTTTTTGTCAGGTTCGATAACATATGTACATTTATTCTAACACTTTTAATGTGAAGTGGAAGGCTAATATGAGAGTCATTCAATAAATAAGGTCAAATTTTCGGTATAAGGACTTCTAATACAGATAGAAGTTTACGCCCCCCCCCCAACATAGTTTGCCACCACTGTCACACACTTTTCCCATCTGTGCACAAGTTTCCATATTCCCTCAGCGTTACGCTGAGGGAATATGGAAACTTGTGCACAGATGGGAAAAGTGTGTGACAGTGCTGGGAGACTATGTTGGGGGCGGGGAGTAATCTTTTATCTGTGTATGAAGTCCTTATCCCGAAAAATTCGCTTTATTTATGGAATGACACACGTATAAAGTTAAAAAAAAATCTATATAAAACATTCAAAAATCATCAACACGTTAATTGTGCTTATTTGCCAATAGTGTTTTAAGTGTGAGTAATAGATGCCAAAGCCCCTCAAGAAATTTCTTGAAACCCCTCGCAATAGTTTCTCCTATCTAATCCTTGGGAAAGTAGATTGTTTCACTGCAGGACTTTAATAGCATCCAGTCGCCATTTTTTGCCATAAAAAGTGGAGCTATAGTGATAGCTTCAGCAATGCTTGGTCCAAACATTTGTTCACTTGTACTACAAACAACACAAGGTGTTTTCATGTCCTCTTGATGTGACTTCATCGACTGCTTGCATTCGAATCTATGTTTAAGCTTTAGGCGGTGAGACATTTGTTGTGGCTCCACCTGGAGCGGGAACGGTTGTGTGATTTGCAAATGCTTATCTTTTGCGGTACATCTGACCACTTGTGGCCAAAGCATCTCCACACGACAGAGTTCACCATCCCTTTAGACGGTAAATCCTCTTTTGAGCACGAAGTCGAAGTCGCGGCGCGGCTCTCACTCTCCAATATTGTTGTTATGCACTTGGGAACAAGGAATACATCATGCTCCTATTGTCAATTTTGGATGCAGACGATGTTGTTGTTTTGTGCGTAATTAATGATATTTTCTAAACTACCCTGATGCCTGTGTTTTGCCATGAAGCCACCATTCTGTCCTGTGGATGGATCATCTATTTAACTTATTACAACTCCCGAAACATTGGCCTCATCCTCACCCACATCATCAACAGACTCTACAAGGATGGCTACATTCACATCGGTGAGTTGATCAGCAGCTCTGTTCCATCACGATAAACACAGCATCTGATCACTGCCAAACATTGAGTTCAAGGTGTTTATTTACTTGGTCTGCTGAATTATTAAAGACATGCAAGGTTCTCTTTGCGACATTAGCGAACGACAATCTGTTTGAGGGTCTTTATATGAAACACATTTTTTTGTGTCTTGCTTATCCTTTACTTTTTCACGATACTATTTAAAACCAAACCAAGTATACAGTCTTGAGTCAGCACCGACATTGAAAAATCCTCAATTGTTAAAATTCGTGGTAACATATTTTTGCAATAGCACAATGCAGCCTTTTCTCATTCCTGCAGACGTGTAAGCAAGGCCTGTTGAGGGATCTACTTGGACTGGAATCACTTTTGCCCTCTGCAGAGTTGTGAAATCCAATTCATGAAGTTGTTGCAACGAACACAACATTGCATCATTAATACATTACAAATCTTTACTCAGTCAAATGTTTATTGATGTTTATTCATTGCTTATCATGGCCATTACTAGTTTTGAAGCTTCGTCGTAAGACATGTTTGTTTGACTAGGCTGCAAATTCCAAAGGGGCTTTGCTTCACAGCCAATCATAAACCTGCCTACAAAAACATTTGTACTTTTAAATCCCCAAAGTATTTCGAACCTTAACAAGCCTCCTAATGAAATAATCACACAAGAGTTGAGTATATTTTGTTCACGCCGTCAGTTTCACTGTTACGTCTGATGTCACTCGCACACTCCACCGTGCTGTCCTGTGAAAAGTGAACATCTGCATATAATTGACACCCATTGAAATGGTGTTGGGCGGCCCGGTAGTCGAGCGGTTAGCATGTCGACTTCACAGTGCAGAGGTACCGGGTTCAATTCCAGATCCGGCCTTTCTGTGTGGAGTTTCTCCCCGTTGCGTGGGTTTTCTCCGGGTCCTCCGGTTTCCTCCTACATTCCAAAAACATGCATGGCAGGCTGATTGAACACTCTAAATTGTTCCTAGTTGCGAGTGTGAGCGCAGATGGTTGTATGTCTGTATGCTCTGTGATTGGCTGGCATCCAGTTTAGGGTGTCCCCCATTTATTGCCTGAAGACAGCTGGGATAGGCTCCAGCATCCCCTGCGACCCTTGTGAGGCTAAAGCAAATCGGAAAATGGATGGATGAATGAATGAAATGGTGTTGGGTGTCAAACAAAAAATACAAAAAAAACAAAACAACCCCCCCCCCAACATATAGAAAACAACCACAAAAAACAAAATATTTTTTCAAATTTAAAAGAAACTTCGGGAAAAACAAATTTGCCAAAATGTGAAGCCATGTATGCCAAACCTCAAGTATGCGTGGTTGACTGTAAAAGATTTAAGATTAGAAAAATTTCCTCCAATAAAAAGAGTCACCGCTACTCGTTTTTGTAAGATGCTGCTTTTCTTATTGATCTTTCTAAGTTAGTTGTAGTGTAATGCATTATTTGTGGACAGTGTAATCAGTTACAATGCACCCGGAAAGAATTCAGTGTTTTTTTTCCCCCCACATTTTGTCATCTTGCAGCCTCATTCCAAAATGGAATACATTTAATTTTGTCCTTGTCCTCAAAATTCTACACACAACACCCATAAGGCGGAGAAAAAAAAGTAGTGTGTTTCCGGTAACCCGACCGACTGAGACTTTCTACGTCGAAAAAAAACTTTACGGTCGGCATTTTTTTCAAACAACCCTCTACATTTTGTAGAGGGTTTACATCGGTGCAAACTCTCGCGATATTCACGTTGAGCGCGTGCATCGTTTGCCCTGTCGTCTGTCAACAACATTGAATCATGGCGGTGGCCGCGATCTCCGACGACAGGTTTTAACTGCGTTTTCTGTGTTACAGTCGCATGCTCGCACCGTAATGTTAAGAAAATATCATCCATTGATGTATCGAAAAAATTCAGCGAACTATTTGATGAACACCACGGGCCGAGTAAAAACCGAGGGCGGAGGAGGGCGGAGGAGGGCGGAGGAGGGCGGAGGAGGACGGCGGAGGCGGCGGCGCGCCCCGCCCCCCCGAGTCCGGAGCGGAGAGAAAACTAAATAGGTCAGGCGCCCGCCGTCGGCGTTCCCCGACCGCCGACCCGCGCGTCCACGTGCTCGTCAACGCACCGTCCGCCTAGTCTATGCAACTCTAGTCCAGGCCGGGCCACAGCCGGCGTCGGGGACCTCTCCCCGCCGGTGCCATCGCGACCCGGCCGACCTCGGAACCTAACACCCAGCCGCCGGGTACCTAACTCTCTCGCCGCCTTAGGCGGCGAGCGGGGGGGTCAACGTCTCCTTGTTTTATAGTTATTTTGTTGAAATTTTTGATGGAAAAAAAAAAAAGATTAAAAAAAAAAAACTGTCCGACCTACCGACCCTACGCTGAAATTTCATGTTTCCGGAAACACACTATCTTTTTTGTTTGGCCTAATGACAATGTGGAAAGAGTTAGATTTTTTTCTTGCAAATTTATAAAAAATAAAAAAACTGAGATATCGCATGTATATAAATACACACAGCTTTTGGACCCAGAAGCAGACAGGACATGGAAGTGAACAAAACTGAATGTCTTTATATACAACAATACAAAATAACAATAGAGTGCAGGGCTGGATGCCGACCACAGAAATACAAAAGTAACAGCAGAGAGCAGGGATGGATGCAGAAGACATGGAAGAAGGCTTGACATTCTGATAACATGTCATTGACTAATTCAAGCTTACATACTGAGAGACATCATGCCATGTCCAAACCTGTATGACAAAATAAACTGACAACATCAAGGGCCCAACCCAAAACACAGTCACAACACTTTGCTCAATACTTTGTTACTGCACCTATGGCAGTGATTGACAGCCTCAAGTGTGCCACAAGCTTGGCAAACCTGTCTTTGGTCAGTTTCCTCCATTCCTCTTTGCAGCACCACTACACCTCCATCAGGTTGGATGCACAGCAATTTTCAGATCTCTCCAGGGATATTTGATCAGGTTCAAATCTGGGCTCTGGCTCGGCCACTCGACGACATTCACCGGATTTTCCTGGAGCAATTCCTTCGTTGATATGGATGTGTCGGTCAAGAGGACTCTGGGGCAGAAATTGATTCAGGATGTTTCTGTACAATTGTGACTCGTCTCCCTTTTCCAGCCAATGGAAAAACATCCCCACACATTGATGCTGCCAGCACCACGCTTCACTGTAGGGATGATCTTGGTCAGGTGATGAGCGGTACCTGTTTTCCTCCAACCATGACACCTGGCATTCTCGCCAAAGAGTTCAATCTTTGTGTCATCAGACCATAGAATTTTCTTTCTCATGGTCTGAGAGGTCTTCAGTTGCCTTTTGGCAAACTCCAGGCACACAGCCACGTGCTTTTTACTCAGAAGTGGCTTCCGTCTACAATACAAGCCTGATTGATGAGTGCTGCAGAGATGGCTGTCCTTCTGGAAGATTGTCCTCCCTTCACAGAAGACTGCTTGAGCCCTGACAGTTTGACCATCAGGTTCATGGTCACCTCCCTGACAAAGACTGATCTCCCCCGATTGCTCTGTTTAGGCATTTGGCCAGTTCTAGGAGACTCCTGCTGGTTCAGAACATCTTCCGTTTATGGATGACGGAGGCCACTGTGGTCATTAGAACCTTGAAAGCAGCAGCAGATTATTTTCTGGAACCTTTCCCAGATTCGTGCCTCGGGACAATCCTGATTTTTTTCCCCAGGGGAAATACTATGCACTTGAGCTCAATTTTGACCCTTGTGGCACAGGATGTGAATACTTATGTACATGTGATTTCTTAAATGTATATATTTAATACATTCGCAAACAAATAAATCACATTGTCGTTATGGGTTGTTGTGTTGACTTTGGAGGGAAAAAAAATTCCAATTTGAAATGAGGCTCTCACACAAACTGTGGAAAAAGTGAAGCATTTGAATATCTTGTTTGTTATGAAAATCTTTTACTTTGAAACTCAAATTAAATACAAAAATAAGATCAATGTAAATGTATTACTACACACTTTGTCTAACACAAAACTGGTGTCATTTTACTCCTTAGGCTCCTTCTCTTTCTCTGTGCTGTCAGGAAAGGTCATGTTCAGAGATGTTTACTACATCAACCAAGACATGTCGATCAGGTAATCTGGCCTCTTGCTGCCATGCTCTGTTCTCTTAATCAGTTAAGGAAATCTGAAATCATCTTTTTATGTCTTTTTTTTCCTTGGATAGGATACAGGATGGCTTTCTCATATTCCGCTGGTGGAAAATGTATAACCCCAAGCAGAAACAGCATGGTGAGCAAAGTGTAGGATCCTCTTACAATTCACACATATTTGGTTGGGATTTTGAAATAAATTGACATATTGCTCATCACTTTCATTTCTGTCCTTCCTGATTCATTCTCTTCACTTATAAGTGAATAAAAGGCTTCCTCAGTTGAGTCCATCGGCGGAGGTTGTTATCAAGAATGTTGTTTTTACTTCAGTTGCCATAAGGAGGTGTTAAACTGAAGTCCACCTATTGTTCTAGTGCTAATTCTCTTTAGGGTCCCTTGAGGAAGCTCGGGTTGATCCTAGGTACTCAGTAAGAGAGGTGGGGTAGCCCATGAACAGATCACCCGTCAATCAAAGGGTACATTGTGACAGACGAGGATCAACACTACAATATGGGCAATTATTCATTGAACCCGGAACACATCTTTTTGAACTGTGGAACCTGCCGACGAAAATAGCATGCAACCACAAGGGGAACATGCAAATTCCACAAGGAAAGACCAACGCTAGGATATGATTTCGGCCCAAATTAAGATTCAAATCCATTTCTGATTTTATGTATTGACGTACAGCTCTGTTGTGTCATCAGACCCCAAGGCGGAGACCAGGCTTTATGTGACAGTGAACGGTTTTGAGTTTCATGTCTACAATCGGACTGACCTTTATGCCCACCTACAAGAGACGTTCGGCCTGGAGCCGACACTTAGCAGACTCAAGAAAGATGACGACCATGAAGGGGAGGGAAAAAAACAGACCCTGGAACGGTGAGACCTGCTTTGATAGCACGTATTATTTGGTACATTTTTATTTTGAAATTCGTGTTGAATTCTGTGTTGTTTTGCGCTGTCTTCCATTTTGAGATAGATTTTTTAAATTTATTTATTTTGTACAAAGATTACTGTTTTTGGCATGTCTTTGTCTTGAAATGATATTTTTTCCACCCTTCTCTGTTTTCATTAATAATTATAATCTGTCATGTAGGGCTGAACAATTTTTGGTTTTATGGTCACAATCGTGATTCCAGACAACACAGTCACAATCGCTACACCTTCATTTATTTATTTTTTGCAGCGTTTATAACTGAACCAGAATCTGTTGTATCAACTATTTCTCACATAAATGGTGCCTGCCTCCTCTTCCGCAAAGCTTATCAGTCAGAAAAAGCGGCTTCCTACTCATGACAAGTCATGCAAAAATAATCCGCTCCGAGCTGCTGCTCGTGAACCAGGCACACGCTGCACTGAGGCAGAAGCTCCGAGCTGTGTTTGCGAGCTGACGTGGCTCCACATTGTCCTCCCACGGTGCAGATCCGATTTCTCTAGAGCCTATTTTCCACTGTTCCAGAATGGCCCGGCACCACGCTGCACTGTCCTTGCTTGGTGTGGCCTGGCCTCAGGCACGGGGCGGGATCAACTGCACTGTGAAAGCCTCCACTTGCACAGTGCATACTCGCAGCTTGCAGGCTTCTACCATAATATTTCACAAGTGGCGAGTCTCGGCCACTGGTTTTGCAGCAATTCAAACTATGAATTGCAGTTCCATGATATGGCGAAGTAACAAATTACAGCCCTTCAAATGCACAGCAGCTGTCACATGTAGGTGAAAAATCCATTGTAGGGTTTAAGCGAGTGAGACACAGTCGCCCACCGGCCATCAAAAATCCAATATATAAAGTACACATTAGGGCTGCACAGAACAAAATAATTGCGACAATGGCATGTGTAATATGCATATCGCAAAGCCGTGCATAATTTCATATTTTCATATGGAATTGCGTGCTTTGATCTGACTTTGACCGATCAGATGCAAATGTGGATGGGTCATCCAGTATGAGAACAGTACCTAAAACACACACACTAATATCAATATATAAACTATAGACTGCCTTATCATCTCTGTTCTTACATTAGAGTCATAGCTGTCATATTTATATTTGATGTCATATTTGGAACTGTTACTGTAAATAGTAAATAATTGCCCCAAAGTTTGATTTCAAAAGACAAACACAAGGTGACTCAAATCAAAATTGCAATATCTGGTTTGTGTCATGTTGCTGCATATGATATGGTAGGTACCTTCCTGATGCCGATTGGTTGGTGGTCCGCAACACAATGCCACTTCGTGTTGACATTTTCAAACTCCAGCGGAATGAGTGAAGGAGCGAATTTTTCTCTTTACACACTTCATCCACACTGCCTGGCACGCGTAATGCGCCTGGCCATGAGAACTGAATTGACGATTTGGAAATGGTCTGATTGCAGCACAATGGTTCTCATTAAAAGCAGCATTGATAATAGGCACTGGGAACACTGGCAGGACTAAATGTCATTTTCTTTTTATTTCTTTGGCAGGGTGAACATTCAAACAGAGAATTCAGACCCCACGTCATCTTGGCGCTCCCTGATCCCTGTAATCAAAGTTAACATAAGTACGGTGAGTTCTTTACAAATTAGCACCCCTTGAAAACTGGTTTGATTTAGTAATGGAGACTATACTGTATCAGAAAGTCGTTTTTCTGTGTTTAAAACGTGTGGTTTTGGAGCCTCAATATGTGTATTCTATGTTTGCTTCCTCATTTTGAAGGGTCGGCTGGCATTTGGGAATCACCACCTCCCACAGACGCTGTGCTTAAACTTTGAAGATGCCTTCCTGACCTATGCCACCAAGCCTCCTTCCAGCCACCTTGACCAATACATGCACATTGTAAAGGGCTCGCTGGAAAACGTGCGAGTCATGCTGGTTCCTAGCCCACGCTATGTTGGCATGCAGACTGATGAGTAAGTTATTCTCCACCTTTGTAATTCCAGATTTATTTTTTAAGATCAATACATCCAATGAGATGAGATGAAGTTCTTGGCCATAAACACTCTGTTTTTATGTGCCACGATTGAACTACTTTTGACACTATATTTGGTAAACTTATTCAAACCATGGCGGCCCGGTGATCCAGTGGTTAGCGCGTCGACCTCACAGTGCAGAGGTCGTGGATTCGATCCCGTCTCCGGCCTTCCTGTGTGGAGTTTGCATGTTCTCCCTGGGCCTGCGTGGATTTTCTCCAGGTTCTCTGGTTTCCTTCCACATTCCAAAAACATGCGTGGCAGGCTGATTGAGCGCTCTAAATTGTCCCAAGGTGTGAGTGTGAGCGCGGATGGTTCTTCATCTCTGTGTGCTCTGCGATTGGCTGGCAACCGATTCGGGGTGTCCCCCGCTTACTGCCTGAAGACGGCTGGGATAGGCTCCAGCACTCCCGCGACCCTTGTGAGGATAAAGCGGTTCAGAAAATGGATTGATGGATGGATGGATGGATGGATATTCAAACCATTGTGGAAATGGAAACATTAATGTCTGAAAATACAGAGCAGCTTATTGAACGCATCACAAAAATTTAGGAATGTTTTTGCAATTTCATTGTAGACCTCCCAGGCTGATGGGCGAAGGCTTTGTGGTCATGCAGTCCAATGATGTAGACATCTACTACTACCAAGATGAGCCTGGTATGAAATGCACAGACACACAATACTGAATATTAACAACATTGCGTGTCCCTCATGAGTATAAGTGTTTCGGGCGGACTGGCGGGTAGGGCGGGCGGGCGGCTGGATGGACGGGCGGGCGGGCGGACGGACGGACGGACGGACGGACGGACGGAAGGACTGGCGGACGGACTTGAGAGAGCGATGATAACTGGCACCCAAGCAGGAATGAAATGCACAGAGTATAAGCAACCAATGGGAAAGCTTTTTTCACTTTTACTGTTGTTTGCTAGGTTCTTCTCAATGTTAATTGAATCATGTCGTGTAGTTGATAGTTTGTCAAAATGCGTTCTTTCAGAGTGCTAATAAACCCCTTTTTGTGTTCACATCTACAGGTGTGGTACCAATGGAGCACGAGAGTGGTGAGGAAGCTGAGACACCCAGTGAGGATGATAAGCTCCAGGATCTTCCTCCATGCTGGGGTCTTGACATTGTGTGTGGAAAAGGAACCGATTTCAACTATGGCCCCTGGGCGGATCGCCAGAGGTGCACAAGCAAGAGTGTACAAGGAAACACTGATACAGAGTTTAGAAAAATATCAAGTCATGTTGTGAAGTCATATTTATGTAGCATGTAGTTTTCAGGGTAGCTTGACATCTTCAGGTTTGTATTAAAACACATTCAAACTTATTTTATAGGGATTGTCTCTGGAAGTTCTTCTTGCCGGCGGACTATCAGGACATGAAGGTGACTGAAATGGCCCAGCCAGGACAACCGAGGCAGATCCAGGCCTTTGAGCTCCGTATGAACATCATTGCTGATGCTACCATTGACCTGCTTTTTACCAAAAACAGGGTATATGTTACATTCTTGAGTTCTTTTTTCGTGATTGTTTTTTTTTTTTCTTTCTTATCTTCCTCCCTCTTTTCAAGTCTTTTTTTATGGTTTTTGAAAAATATTAGTGTGGCGCACCAACGTGTAGTGTTTCTTGTGTAGGTTATTAATTTTGACATGCTGTCTGATTGTTATGGTGACATAGTATTTCTGAAGCTGACAGCTTCCTCCTCTTGACCAAACATCCACTGCGGGAACGCTCAGAGTCGGGTTTGCTGTCTTAAACATAACATGGCAACCTCAAGTTTAAAGCTTGGTGGAAACTTGGCTTCTCTGTCTTTATTCTTGTTACCAGGAAACCAATGCCATCCATGTGAATGTAGGTGCAGGTTCTTACCTGGAAGTCAACATCCCCATGACCGTTGGAGAGACTGGTAAGATTTTTGTGCCACAATGTCTGAACCGTAACTTAGCTCATGTACAGAATGTATAGAAGCCCTATGTCAAGTGTGCAGGTCAAATTTTACCCGATTATCATCTCATCAGACAAAAAGTATGTCCATCTAGTAAAAAAATGAATACATTTAACGAAACAAAATACATTTACTGTTACAATTTATTGATGTATAAAAGGGATTTGAACAGTGTAATTATAAACAGGCTGAGTGGAAAGGAAGGATTGCTGAAGGGTGGCAAGGCTGACGTATTAAAACTCACTTGTACTTTATTCTTTGGCATTTGACTCAGCATGAATCAGATTTGATCTTAGTTTTACTTTTTAGTGTTTTCTACCATCTTTGTTACTGATTTATTGCTTTATTGTTGTATATATGTCAGTTGCTCCATGTACAGCACTTTGTATGCAGTGATGGCTGTTTGAAAGTGGTCTATAAATACAGTTGAGTTGAGTTGAGAATTTGTATGTCACAGTTCATAGACAAGGCAATTCAGTGCTTCCCCCCCCCAAAAAAAAACAAAAACGTAAAAATGACAAATTTAAAAACACACAATTACATCCATCCGTTATCTGTGCTGCTTATTGACCTCATGTTCGACACTAACCGTGGCCCAGGGTCAGTGCTCCACTGTGTCAGGGCACCACCCGAACATCATCTGCCAAAAATGGGCCAAAAGTGCATTTTCGATTTTGTACCGAAATACTTTTCTCTCTAAAATAGGCTGCTGTGATGATTGCAAGAAGAAAAAACGGGGCCTTGAATGGATAAAATGGCATGAATTGGTGTTAGCCTCATGTTAGTAGCTAATCGCTACGAGCCTGAAAAGGGACATTGTGTAGAACTTTTTAATTTTTCCATAGTTATTTCATTTTAGAAACCCACTATTAATTTTAATATTATCCAAAAAAATGTTCTCTCACACCAACGAACATTTTTTTGAAATAAGTGTAGGGCTCGTACTCGCTAATTATATCACAAAGTACATGAGTTGCTGGCATATTTTTGCTACGGATACCCGAAGGAGACAAATCACCCGATCACAAATTTGCTGTCTCAGTGACTACAGTTTGACACATCAAACTAACAATTAAAAAATAATACAGGGTGTTATCCTATGGTAGAGTATACGCTATATACATTGCTGGATCACACAGCTCTCCTTCAGGGCCATTCAGCTTTAGAGGTTGCAGTACTTTGTTTCTGTAAGTAATGTGCTTCATGTTTAGTTTCATTAGATTATTTAAAAATGTAGTTAATGTTTAACAGATCTATAACTTTGAAGAACTGATGGTGCTGCTTTTTGCCTCCATCCTCAGGCTATTTGCCCACGATCAAAGGGCAGCTGCTTCATGTTGACACCACCAGCAGTATGCAGTACAGGACTCTCCTTGAGGCTGAGATGTTAGCTGTAAGTAGCAGATAATTATAATTACATAAGTGCCTCTACAGAGAAAATTTTTAAATAGTCAAGATGTTATTATGCAGTTTGTTGTGAAACACGTGATTTAAACAGAGGAAAAGCCAAAATGTCTTTTTTGTCCGAAATTTCAGTTCCATGTGATTGCCAGCTACCCCCGAGTATGGAACATGCCACAGTCTTGGCAGTGTGAGATTGAGGTGTACAAGGCCACCTACCATTTCATCTATGCCCAGAAAAACTTTTTCACTGGTGAGTTAGAAGAACTTCTTTGAAACCTCAGAGGAGGATGCATAAGATTCATGGAACATTTTTTTTTTTTTTTTTGTCGACTTAACAGATTTGATTCAGGACTGGGCCAGTGACAACGCTCCAGACATTTACTCCTTTGTTCCTTATTCCTGGACTTTCAAAATGCTTTTTCATCAGTTTGAGATGATCTGGGCGGCAAATCAGCACAACTGGATTGACTGCTCCACCAAGCAGCAGGAGAATGGTGAGGAATTTATGTTTGTCATAATTCATTTATGAGCCCTGAAATTTGCATTCCCCCTGGCTCCTGATTTATGACAAAACAAAAAAGAAACGAGAACTATTGGTTTCCAAAAACTGCTACTTGTTCACCCCCCCGCCCAAAAAAAAAAACACGTACAAAACATACTACTAAGGTGTGTGTTGATCAGAGCAATCAGTTGTTGTCTTGTATGTATACATCGGAAAACAGGAAGGAATATTTCGAACTCAGGAATACACTATATTTATACTGTGTTCATCCATCCATCCATCTATCGTCTATCCATCCATCCATCCATCCATCCATCCATCTATCATCTATCTCTCATCCATCTATCTTATCAATCTTTCCATCTTTCCATCTATCCATCCATCCATCCATCCATCCACCCATGCAGAGATAGGCATTACGCCCATGGGACAGTTCCATCCCTCCCAGATGAAGGCCCATTTAGCGGACGGAGGACGAGAAGTTTTTTTTTTTTTTTAAAAGGACGCACTAAGCAAGGACAGAAGTGGTCCCTATAATTGTCCTCAACTGGGTCAAGTACTTATGGATTCCCATTTCATTAACAACTGACAGAAACATGCCCAACTTGTTTTGTGAGTGTAATCCATCATTATACTGTTCTGGTCTAATGTGAAATATCACGACGTGCCGCTTGTCTCGTGCGTGTTCACCATGTTTGTATGCAGGAGGGAGTGACTTCACCTTGCGTCAAGTGGGCACTTGTCCTTTGTCCCAAAAAGTTTACACATCGCCAGTGAGTCTGGTGACCGATGATGGTTGTGTTGGCAGCTCAATGCTATCTTGGTTGACACTTGACACACACAGTTGTTGTAAACAATTCAATCGAGCCGATTAAGAAAGCTGGCTGTGTTGTAAGCCTCGTGTGTGTGTGTGTGTGTGTGTGTGTGTGTGTGTGTGCGTGTGTGTGTGTGTGTGTGTGTGTGTGTGTGTGTGTGCGCCCGCGCTATCATGTGCATGGGTGTGGCGTATTAATTAAATATGTTTTCGATGCTGATGCGAGGTGGTCAAAAGTTCAATTCAGCCTACTTGGGAGAAATGGACATAGGACAAAAATTGCTTCACAACGCTTCAAATGCCACTAGTCACCCAACCACATGTACTGCATAAGGAAGGCACTGGCAGAGCACAGGGAGGCGTGGGTGGACTTATTTATGAAGTGCAACACCCCACTCCCTAGGTCCGCTGCTGCGGTGGGAGTTTTTTCAACAGCCACAGTGTTTCACAATAAATCCAATTGTGTGCTAGCCTGTTGTACTGCCAGTCCACGGTGTCATGCACAAACGTTTTTGTTAGGGGGCCGGGGGGTGGCAGGGAGGACGAAGTTTGAAATACTGCAGCAGAAGTGTGCATGGATCTTGCCTTTGCCACGCATAAAAATAGCAATTGCCAAGCCACAACGAGACCCCCTTCGTTTGTAAGATTGAAAGCATGACCTTTTTCATTTCCACTCACAGGCCAAAATGATACATATGTGCTTAAGACTCTCCATCACATCTTAGGCTAACAACCGAGGCTAAACTTAGCTCATCCCCACCACATACAGATCTCAGAACATTTGCGATGTATCACTTCAACAGGTGTCTTTGAAATCAGTTACTACTTTCCTATTAGTCAGTGCTTTAGGATCTTCACATATGCCAGGAGCCCATGAAAAATGAGTTTTTCCACTAATAACTGAGGATCAATCCCACAAAAACTAAATCTGTGTAGATGAATTTGTGATCAACAAACCGTGAATATCAGTGATCACTGCATTGGGCTTTACTGCCTCACAGTGAACTTTCTAGATTGTCCCATGGCGCTTGTGCTAATGCTAGTTCCGGGCCAGTGCCCAGGTTAGCACCAGTTCATTCTTTTTCCACCGTCGAAATTGGCTCTCGCTCTGGTGGTTGAAACTGTTATTTAAGATGGCCCCCAATTATTTTTCAGGGGGTAGAGCACTGGTGTCAAACTCAAGGCCGGGGGGCCAGATTCGGCCCGCCATGTCATTTTTTTATGATGTGATGATGAAACGTTTATTCGATTTCTGTCGTCGCGGCCCTTCCGAGGGAAGACGTAACTCCAAAGTGGCCCGGGACAAAAATGAGTTTGACACCCCTAGGGTAGAGGAATGAATCCTTGGACATGTGTAAGTTTTGCACAAACTGTTAAGCAGTGAACTCCAGCACAATTGTGTCCACCAGAAGAGCTATCGTGGATGAACCCAGATGGCATCTCTCCCTTACAGCCAGCCATGTGATCATCTATAATGATTAAGAAAGATATAAGCGCTTGCTAATTGCATGTCCCTGGCTGTTATATACAGTCATACCTTGGTTTTTGACCATAATCCGTTCCAGAAGGCTGTTCGAAAACCAATTTGTTCGAAAACCGAAACCACGCTCTTTTTAAAAAAACAAATCTTTATTGAACACGTCTGTTCACAACGGAACGCTCCACGAGGAAGCGTCATTTCCTCGTGTAAGGAAGGTGAGAGGAGTCAAGTGACGCATTCAAGTGTGCTCAGTTTGTTCGAGAACCGAAATTCGGTCGTCATCCGAGGCATAAAAAACTCAAAGTTTTTGGTCGAAAACCGATTTGGTCGACAACAGAGACGTTCGGAAACCGAGGTTTGACTGTACTACATAAAAGTATTGATGCTATGTTAAGTTGCCTAGCATATGCTAGCAGCGCATTACTATTATTATGATTATTACTGTTATTATTATTATTTTTTTTTATTAATAGCGCAAGCGCTCTTGGGTAAATGACGTAAGCAGTGATGTTTGAATGCTTTACGATGATGCAATAACATAGCTCTCACTTGGCTCTTTGCCGGTGGCAAACCAAACACGTTCTTCATAAGAACTTGTTAAGCTATGACAAAGCACAGCAATGACCCTGGCGCCAAACGAGCAAGGCTTTTTCAGGTGGAAAAAGCGTATCAGTGTACCAAAATTCTGTATGGTGTTTTGCATTGTACCGTATTGGTCCGAATATAAGACGGTGTTTTTTGCATTGAAATAAGACTTAAAAAGTGGGGGTTGGCTTATATTCGGGGTCTAGACATTACACCCATTCACGACGCTAGATGGCGCCAGATATCATTGAAGCAAATGCTGAACTTGACTCCCTAGGCCAAAGTGAACCCCTGTCACAAAAAATAAAAATAAAAATAGCGGTAGCACAAAGAAGAAAAATAAAAAATAGCAGTAAGAAAGAAAAGAGAAGAAAATAATAGAAGAGATAACAGAAAATGGAGAAACGTAGTGACAATCTGGAGAAAAGTGGGTCTAAGATTGGCCAGGTTACCCGGCAGCTGAGGAGAATTTATGATGTAATTTACATTTCAAAAACCAGAAGCCATTCATTTACGAATGTGATTGCACTTTAGTTTACATATTTAAATGTTCAGATATTAAGATTTGAATGAGGCAAAATAACATGCTTTTTCTCTCAAATATATTGTTATAATCATTTGTTTCAGATGTACTGCAATTATTTTCTGTATAAAAATTAATTTGGTGTTCAAAAAGTCTTTTTTCAAACTTGAGTTTTGAAAAAGGGGGGGTCGTCTTATAATCAGGGCCGTCTTATATTCGGGCCAATACGGTAGTATCTAGCTGTATATTTTAAATTTGCACAACCACCATCTTACATGAATCCTTTTCTGTGCTGGAACCAAGGACCTTGGCAGTGTTTTGGACTCTTCTCTTTATTACTGCTATAATCCCTACTGTATAATTTTTCTGCAGTGTACCTGGCAGCTTGTGGTGAGACGCTGAATATAGACTTCATTTTGCCTTTCAATGAGTTTGTTCCAACGACCTGCCATACCCGATTCAGTTTGAAGGTTCGTCTTTTTTTAAGGTGTGATTTGTTTTGAACGTATATCTGCAAAAATACTTATACTGCAAGTGCAATTATTTTTCCTCTTTGCTTGCAGTAAAAATGCATCCTGTAGATGGCTCATACATTATTTTTAGATTCAGATGCATTTGTTGTCCTTGAAATAGGCTTTAACTGTGTGGATCTAAGTACATGTACATCTTGACGTTTTTAGGCAGAGGATACAGACATGCGACTGTCCTTGCCTGAGTGCCACCCTAGCCGCTATCCCCTCCTAACCCTTGCCAAAGATTACCAGAATGTCAAGCTGCCCCCAGACATGTTCACGCCAGGGGAAAATCAAAGTGCCCCGCCGCCAAAACCCAACAAGTCCCGGTGGAGGAATATCACCAACGCAGAGTAAGTTGTGTGGGAAAAAGTGTGTATAATTGCAAATAAAATCGCTTCATACCCCATGTTCACTCCAAGCTGCGCGTGTGAGCAATTGCGCAATACTCTCACATTCTCACAAAGCACAGCAAATGTGTGCAGCAATTAAAAAAACAATTCGAACCTGAGCTCTATTTGCATTTTGTATTTTCATATTAAATTGAAACATTTATTTGGCACGTGGTTGACTGAGTGGGGGAAAAAAATACGATCAAAAAATAAACCAAAAAAAAAAATTACTGAAATGCTAGGCGAGCACACGTCGTATCATTGACACACACGAACATTGCTTTCTGCCGAAGCTACCCTGCAATCAGATGCATCGTTGTCCAACATTCACGCTGTCCACTCGTCCCCTTGCCAGTCCACTCATAACGGATTTGGGGGTGGAGTCTTGATACTTAGTATGTCTCTGCACAAATGTAACCATGTTACCGTGATCCACGCATGAACTGTCGACGGGCATGTCGTGCAAATCACGAGTTCTGGCACACCGTGCTGTCACCAAAGACGCAAATGAGCACACTTTAGCTGGCTCGGCCAAACATCGAGCCCCCTGCTCCGCTGTACTACTGATCCATTTTTACAAATGGCGGATGATGAAACTTGCATGTGTCAGCGTGTGAGCCAAGGATCACACTCTTGATGAGTAAATCACTAGCTTATTTAAAAACAATAGACAAAGAGCAACCAGTGGCGTCGTGTATGCACTTCCTAGACTTTTTTTTTTTTTTTTTACAGAATTTTAAGTTAGGGAATCGTGATTGTAAAATAATGAGGAAAACAGAAAAAAAGTACTCTTTCAAAATTGTGTTTTGTTGATAGAACTGCTTTTTTCAGAATTAAATTAGGTGACACTATATTTATGCAAATCAAGATTTCTGTTCCTGCGGGATATGATTCACTCAGCATGATATGTTTTCAACTCAGCATTGTGATGTGTTCTGAATATTTCCTCAACTTCAGAGCTGGCTGGGTTGACTGCTGGAGTGTACCGAACTTTTTGCTCATCATTGACTACACATGGCATCCCATATATCCCCAGAAAGCTGATGAACAACTCAAACAGTCATGTAAGCGGTCTACCATGGTCCCACACATTGTTTATTCTTTTGAAAAGCTATGTGCCTTACTTGTGTATCTTTCCCAACTGCAGTTTCTGAAATGGAGGAATCAATGCTGTCAGCTTTACGGCCCCCGGAGCACACTTCGGGACACCATAGTCACCCATACTACACTTCTGCCTCAGCCGGTCACAGCCGGATGCCAACCGACCCCTCGGATCTTCCACCTGATAGACTTCATGTGGAGATGGAAATGTCTCCGGATTCTCAAATTATCCTTTATGGGCCTTTACTTCGGGCTTTGATTTCCATCAAGGTATAAATACCTTTATATTCGTTGGGATTTTGTCTTTGTTCAAAAAAAAAAAAAAAAAGTTCGTTGTTGGGGTTTATAAAGAGTCTGTCTGAAAAACTGAGGTATATGAGTTACAGCCCATTGTCAATCAGGTAACCTTCTCAGGGCCACTCTTTTATCGCTTTCTCAGGAGAATTACTTTGGTGAAGATGACATGTATACTGACTTTGAAGAGACAGTGTCAAGTCCGGTTTTGTCCACTTCCTCATCTGGCCTCGGATGGTCCCCTCTTGGAATGGAAGACAGCGGACATAAGGAAACTTCAGACATCCATCCATTGGACCTGCGACCTTGGGATATAACCGTGCTCATTAATCTCTACAAAGTCCATGGTCGACTGCCTATGGTAAGGCTGACTGCCATTGTACATTTTATGTCTTAGTAAAGACTAATGGGTAGTGTAATATTTTGTAAAAATATATACTAGAAGAGCAACCGTGTGACAATGGACGAAACTGGACAGAATATAAAAGCCATTGCATTTTTTTTTTTTGCATAGCATCTCCAGAGCTGTCAAATGTTATGGATTATCTGGATTTTGTCATGGAAAAATATCCGGATTTTGTCATGGAAATCACTGAACTCCAACTCGCATTGGCTGTATCACCGATTATTACGGATATTTTCAAAAAAATCCAGCGTCGAACATTAGGACCAGTACGATGCCGTTTTGAGCTACTAAGGCACTGACCAGTTCACATTTCATCAATGAATGCGATGAGCTTAACACTGCATTGTTATTAAAACAAAACAAAACAAACAAAGGAAAACAAAGAACAAAAAACTGTGCACTGTTCATATCTGGGAATGCTTGGTGCATGCTATTTGATGCTGCCCCAGCTTCCTGCTAGCTACGTCTGTAGGTGGGTGACTGACGTGGCTCAACACTATGCAGGGCCGCAAATTCACTTTGCGTCCAGTGACAACACAGTACAAGTCACCAAACATTTCCTCCATGGCAGCTAACAAGCTACTTTTCTAACTAGTATCATTACCAAGAAACGAGAACTGCGAGAAAGACGACGAAGCCATGCTAATAACTATGCTCTCATGAAGGACTTGTAGACATGAAACACTGAAATAAGTGATTTGATGATAAAATACACTCGTCACATAAGGCTGGCTGAAACTGTATTATAATAGAGAGTTTGAACAGCAAAATAATAAGCAAATAAGTGTCTGGAGGGAAAATAATACAAAAGAACGCTACACAGCTACATAGGACGGGAAAATAGTGCATCACTGTATACGTTTGCAGAGAGGATCAGTCTATAATGTTAAAAGTATATTCATATATAAAATGTTTTGCTGTAAGATATGTTATCCTGTCTTACTCCCACAAGATGGAAATAGTTCTATCAGTAACAGTGGAGACAAGAAATAGAACAGTGTGTGCATTGCACTAATTACAAGCCAAACTTTTGTCTGTGCTTTAACTCTGTAATCCAATCTATCAACAATGTCATTTGTTTGTTGGCAGAGTGCTGATGACAATAATATAAATGACTAGACTTGCTTACTTGATTGCAGTTGAAAATAGAATTGATTAAGGCTAATTCATCCCTTGGTATTTTGGACGGTGGAACACTGATTGAGGCTGTGACTCTGCACCATTACAAAGTTGGTGCAATCAATACATGACAGTGACAAATATCGATGTCAAAGTTTATGAACAATTATGGTAATAGAGGAATGATTGTGTTTGTGCATTTGAACAGTATACATTGTTCTTTTATCCAATGACATAATACGCTGCAATAAATGTCGTGCGATAATCTTGAGAATATGTAAAAAAAAAAAAAAAAAGGAAATTGGGACACAATGTTATGGAACTGAAGTTCTGTACATTGTAGCTGTGCATGCCATTTCCATTCAAGCGTCTTTTTTTTTGATTGATCTACAGCAAGGCTGTCAAACTCAGTTTTGTCACGGGCAACTTTGGAGTTACCTTGGAGGGCCGTTATGAAACCACAAAAACGTTTAATCATCTTATCACATTATTACTTGTACACAAAAAAATGGATTACTAGTTTTAAAATCTGTGATGTCAACAAATAGTTTATAGAATTATTGTTCAAATGAGTGTAAACAGGGTAGCAATATTATTACAAAATTTCAACGTTATTTATGACACGACAATTTGACATTTCGATACAGATGTTAGTAACGATCATGCAAGTTGCCACACATGATTTGCTTTCGCCGGCCACATGAAATGACGTGGCGTGCCGGATTTGGCCCCCGGGCCTTGAGTTTGACACCTGTGATCTACAGTGTAGTAAAAATGCACAGATGTTTGTCTTATGTTTGTCTTCCTTGGGTTTCGTTAGCACTGTAGCAGCGAGGGGCCAGAAGGTCCATCTGGATTCTTGGAGCGGTTATGTTTTGAAATGAAAAAGGGTTACAAGGAGACCATGCTTCAGTTGCTGCTGTCACCTATTCACATCTTCATCAGTGACAACTACCAGGTAAGAAATCATCCATCCATCCACCCATACTTGGACCTCCAATGAAACTTGTCTATTTTATAGTGCTGATTACAGACAGCTGTGATACGTTTCTGATTCAAAATGTGTTTTAAGTCCAAATTTGCACCAAGCAATTTTACATAATACTGTTTGGAACACCAGTGTCAACAGTTGTGCTACCCCCAAAGGAAATGTAAGAAGTAAAATACAGGAGTATCCCATAAAGAAGTGAATTGCTGACACTTGAACTTTTTTATTCCCCAAGACGTATCAATATGTCCAGAAAAGCCACTACGACTGCCTATCCTTGACATATTTATACGTCATTTCCTTGTTTTTTTTTGGGGTTTTTTTTTTGCGTCATACAGTGCAGAAAGGTCTGACGCTGCCTCTGATTGAGGATCTTGTGTATGCGTTTAATAGAGAAATAGCAACCATATCTGACACTACGCCTTTTAATTCAGTGCGTCATATAGTCGTGAAAATACGGTATTCACCAAACTACCAAATGAAAGAATGGGCTCCTTTCAGCAGGAATAAAAAAGTTTGATTGTGCCATTTTTCATTCTTTTACACTCAGCGGTACAAAAAAGTTAGGCTGCACAAAATGTAGCCGTGTAGCCCAGTGGGCTCACAAACTCCCCTGATATCATTTCTAAAATGAGACATATATGTAAGTGGTGGTTGTGCAAAAAGTAAATTTGTTTCCAAGTTTGAAATTTACAGTGGAGCTACATCAGATGCTCCCCGCCCATCCTCGTTGAAAAAATGTAATTGACAATTCTACTTGTCAGCGGCAGTGAATGAGTTAACCTTCCACTTCTGAAAACTACTCTTTTTTTTTTTTTTTTTTTTTTTTCCTTCCTTGCATTACAGCGTCCCTCGGTGGATGGGGTGTTGAGGGATGGCCACCTAAGCCTTTCGGGCCTGCAGATGAGGGCACATGCCATGTTCTCTGCGCAGGGGCTGCCACTAGGAAGTGACACCCTTGAATACGCCTGGCTCATCGATATGCAGGCAGGAGCTCTGACTGGGAGGGTGACTGTTCCACAGGTGTGTATGTGTTCTTAGCTTGACATCAAATGGGAATATTGTAAATGCAGGGTTGTAGTTTCAGAATCATAACTGTCACCATCGTAAAACCTTTGTCAACCAGACAGATAATGTTATGAAAAACAAAGTCATGAATTCTCACTCAAATGTAATGTTGAGTGTGTTAGCAAAGTAAAATGAAGATGCAAAACACATCTAGTGTTAATCCTTTGTTGCTGACTGAAATTAGGATGACTTGAAGGTTTTTTCCTGTTTTTATTGGTAACCAAAAATTGCAACAGACACACGATCACACAGTGGAACACACAACCTCGGTCTATTGACGTGAACTGTCTCATCCACATGGACAAAATTGTGGGCACCTCTCTGTTCATGAAAGAAAACGCACAGTGGTCACAGATATAAGTTGAATCCGACTGAAGTCGAAGATGAAATGAACATGTCATGAAAAGTATGTAAAGAAAATCAGACATAGCTTTTCATTCCTGGTTCAACAGAATTATTTTAGAAAACAAACTAATGAATTAAGCCTCGATAAAATTTACAGTACCCTTCACATTTTGTTGCACAACCTGTTCAGGCAATCACTGCAATCAAACGATTTATTTCACTTTCAAGTCTTAATGAACAAAGTGTTTCTGTTTTCTCTGGGCTGAAGGGTGCTTTCTCCAGATTCCATGTTTTAGCTCCTCCCAAAGATGTTCAGGAGGGTTTAGATCAGGACTAATAGTTCAATGTTTAACTTTTAACCATTCTTGGAAGTTTTTAGCTGTGTTTGGGTCTTTATCCGGATGCAAGAAACATGACCTGAAACTGAGACCAAGCAGCACATTTCTCTCCAGAATTGAAACTTTGACAGGCATGAGTGTGGCTCACTGTGCCAGATTTCACATAACAGACCCAGAACATAACAGAGCTTCAGCAATGTTTCACAGTAGGGACAGTGTTCTTTTCTTGGTATGTTTCAATTTTACACCTGTGAACATGCAGCTGATGTGCCTTGCCTAAAAGTTCCAGTTGTCTGGTGTGTCTAGTCTGGTCTGTCCATACGATGTTATTCCGGAAGCTTTATGACTTGTCAATAGGCAGTTTGGAAAATTCCACTCTCATTTTTTTATTATTTAATGTCTTTGTAATAGTCCACTTTGGCTCAAACATCGACTGATGGTGCGAGCTAAAACCGACGTAGACCTTGGAGGTCATCTTTGACTTTGGAATTCACTTGCAATTTGTTTGGTGGTTGTTGTAGGCTCTTTACTTTCCATTCGTATCACCTGTCTCTTCAATTTGTGATCAATTTTCCGCCTCTATCCACATCCAGGGAGGTTGGCTATAGTCCTGTGAATCTTAAATTTTCATAATGGTATGTGCAACTGTAGTCACAGGAATGTCAAGCTGCCTGGAACTGGTCTTATGGACTTTATCGCTAATATTCTTAAGTACAATTTTCTTTCTCATCTAATGAAACAAGTCTCACCTTCGCTCCCTCAAGCCCATGTTTAGTGTGTGGTACACTCCATGTCACTGAACCGCTTAATGACTACTTGTCACCCTTTTGGGGACACACCTTGGTTGAACACCTCCCTGTGGTCAAATTATTAACCAATTATCAATCCATTCTTGTCGTAATGTGATTTTTGTCCAGGCATGAGTTGATGATGATGATGTTGTTTTTGTTGTTTTTTTTTTTTTTTTTTTTAATAATTCTGCTGAACCACAATTTAAAAGCAATGTCTTATGTTCATGGGTTAATTTTCATATTATTTTCATTGTTACTTTGTTCAGACTCAAGTTATTTCTGTGACCACTGAGGGTTTCATAAACTGTGCGGGAGACAATTTTATCCATGTGTGTATGATGACAATTCCAACTCTTAAAAAACAAAAAAAACAAATTCCCCCCCCCCCCCCCCAAAAAAAAATTTTTGTTCTTGCAGTTAATACTTTATGTAATTTGACAATTTTTTTTAGGTGGCCAGTATGACAGAATGGGGGGAGTATTTTGTTTTCCATGTGATGTCCCGCGAGTTCCAGCTTGAACAACCAAAGCCCTCTGTCATCTGCCAGCATGGCGTTGACCGTCGCATCTGCGATGCTAAGGTACTTTGCTTGACACATTTAGGGACTGTTTACAGTGATTTTTCTTTTCCCCAATCCTTTTATTTATATATATATATATATATATATATATATATATATATATACATACACACACACACACAGGTATATATATATTGAAGCCAACGGCAAGCCACTTACCCAAGTGTCCATGAAATGTGGCATATACCAAGGTGATGCACTCTCCCCACTGCTGTTCTGCATAGGACTGAACCCCCTAAGTCAAGTAATCGCCAAGACTGGCTATGGATACCGCCTCAGAAATGGAGCTACGATCAGTCACCTCCTCTACATGGATGACATGTATGCTAAGAGCGAAAGGGACATAGACTCCCTGATCCACACAACCAGGATCTACAGCAGTGACATCGGGTTGTCATTCGGGCTCGAGAAATGTAGTCGGATGGTGACTAAGAGAGGCAAGGTAGTCCACACTGAAGGGGTCTCACTCCCTGAAGGAACAGTAGTAGACACCGAGGACAGCTACAAGTACCTCGGTATACCAGAAGCTAATGGCAACCTCGAACTGGCAACAAGGAAAGCGGCTACGGCCAAATAACTCCAGCGGGTGAGGCAAGTCCTCAGAAGCCAGCTCAATGGCAAGAATAAGACCCGGGCAATACACAGCTATGCCCTGCCAGTGATCAGATACCCTGCAGTAATAATAAGGTGGCCAAAGGAAGAGATTCAGACCAC